TGGTTGCAACTGTGTAACAAAAAACAAATACTTTTTTTTCTTTTTTTCTTTTTTTTTTTTTAATAACCCACATCAGAAAAATGACATCTGGACTGGTAAATGATATGGACATGAGCATTTTCCCTTCTGACACTCCTGACTAACGAGGCAAATTATATAACAATGTCCATATGCTGAAGTCTATTTGCCTTTGAAATACTCACAGATAAAATTCACTTGTACGTTTTTCAGGCAACAGTACTTATATTTCAGTATATTAAGCCACAAAGGCAAAATGGCTGTCACATACAGTACATACAATTTATTAATGCATGTGGGAAGCGGTCATGATTTCCACTGAGAAATCAGAATTAGTCTGCTAAAACAGATGAGGGTTAAAGTAAAGGAAATAATGAGAAAAGCAGGCAACACAACCTTGTTGGCCTACTGGCCTCTTCCTGATTCTTACTTTTCAATCCTTACCTAAAAGCACTGAAACAGATGTGAAGACAAAAACAACTTTGTTCCGAAAACTGCAGGAGGAACCATGAAAAATATAATCTAGGTGTTTGTCATTGTGAGGGTTAATTCACACTGTGTGGTAAAAGTAATCAGAAACTGAAAGGACCTATAATTACTTTAGCACAAAGGAAAAAAAAAAAGAGCAGGGCTCTATATAATGCAAGCAAGGCTTTAGCCTATAATTACAGGTTCAAAGAATACAATGGTAAAAATGCTGTAAATGCACAAAATGCATCCCTCTGAAGGCCATTAGCAACATATAAACTATCCCTGGCTTCGTATAAAAATAAGAGCAAATAAAACCAGATTGTACATATTTCTGATGTGACTTTGGAAATTAAAATTAGCATCTAGAATTCAGCAATTGAGAAATGTGAATATTCTTGGAGGATCAGTTTATATAGTATAAATAGGGTGTAAAATTAAGGGAGCAAAAATGTCACAACGAACAACTATCTAAAGACAAATGATCTTGCTGAAGTTCTAGCTGAATTGGCTGAATTTGAGCCATAGGTGGCCCTGTTGGCAACACCTGGCTTGACAAACTTCAACCTGGAAATGGATGGGGCCAGATGGAAAATACTGGGCTAAACAGTAACTGCAGCCACAGTCACTGTTCAGGTATTCTGACAGCCACGGACGTAGTGGTTGTCAGAATACAGTAGCTGGCAGTGGAAATTCTTCCATCCATGGTGTTTAGCATTAGTAGCGGCATCTATTGATTTCCTCTGTTCAGCACTCAGGGTTGAATGAGAGAAATCTTATCATGTATAGCAAGACTAACCCAAAAAAACTCTTGGTCTTGAAGCCAATACTACAATAAAAAAAAATGGCGGCTCAACACAAACACTTTGCTACAAAAAAAAAATGTGAATAACGCACTTGGCTCAGGTGGCTTTCACCCACGAGTCCTCAAAGAGTTGCGCTCAATTGTTTCTCAGCCAGCGTTTCTAATTTTTACAAACCCTTTAAGGTGTAGTAATGTTCTGTGGTGTCATTGTGTGGTACCATACAATTCATTTTGTACTGCAGAGTGTGGTAATGGTATGGATATAAACCAAAAATAAACCAAAAATTATATTCCAATATACATTCCAAAAGCGTCAAAATTTTATTTCTGACACCATTTTGCATTCAACATAGAGCCAATTAAAAGCATTTAAAACAGATTCAGCCTTTGAACTCAATGGATGTGTCTTATATCACCCTGGAAGAAAGGGGGAAACTCCATAATACAGTTAGAAAAATAGAAGGTTTTATCGTTCCCCATTTAATGAGAAAATAAAAGTTTTGACCAGAGCTGGGCTTTAAGTTGTCCAGTCCACTTCCAAATAGGAATGTAAAGGTTTATGCTGTCCCTAATGGGCCTTTCCTAATCTAAAGGGAAATGCATGCTAACACTTTCAGAATAGTTATCTTAAGGGAACCAAAAGTGATTGGGTGAGGTTTTATAAATGGTCAAATAGCTATTTCCCCTTCAGATCTTCCCATCAGCAGCAAGTGTAAAGGCCTCCAGTCATATTGGGTAACAATGATCACATGTCTATGGCTGCCTTTAATCTCTATTGCCCACAGAAGCCACATTATTCCTTTCATTCCCGCAATTCATCCTATTATTTTATTGAATATAAGGCTGGTGCATGAAAATGTGTGATAAAAAGAACATCTTAGGCAGAATTCCAGCATCGTGTGTGGCCCTGGATCACTGAAACCTATTGGCAGCTATGGGCAGATGTTTTTTTCCTTGTACACATTTTCATACATACAGTGGGTATAGAAAATAAATCACCCCCCTTTAAAATATTCACATTTTGTTGCTTTGCAACCTGAAAAGAAGACAGATACAGTTTTTGTTTTATCTAACATGGCCTAGTCAGAGCCTAGACGTATACCCCATTTAAAATTGGTGGAATGACTTGAAGACAGCAGTCACCATCAATTTAACTGAACTTGCAAAGAAGAGTGGGCAAATATTGCAAAGTCTAGATGTGCAAAGTTAGTAGAGACATATCCCAACAGTCTAAAGCCTGTAATTAAAGGAAAAGGTGGTTCAATAAAATACTGACACAAGCTGGGGATCCTTTTTTCCAACTCAGCGATTCTGTTTTTGAATTTTTTTTCTGACACTTTCACTTGGATATTATAAATTGCACAGCTGGATAAAACAAAAACTGTGTCTTCATTTCAGGCTGCAAAGCAACAAAATGTGATTTTAAACGCAGGTGATTCTTTTCTATACCCACTGTATGCCCTCATGTATTGTCTGAAAGTGTTCTTCTAACGGGCTTAGATAAATAAAAACTAATCTATTACTGTAATACAGCAAGTGAGGAGGATCTGAATTTGGGCTTTAACCATTTTTAGAGTAATATTTTCTAATAAAAGGTGGAATTAATACATTTACTCTCTAGAGTACTAAGCTGTATCCAGTGGGAATTTATAGAAACAGGCCAAAAGAAAAAAAGGAAGTGTTGCCTATAACAATGGATATGGTTCTAGTGTCATTTCCAACTACAAATGAGAAAGTAAAAGCTCTGATTGACAAACGCTCAGTTTATTTCCACTGATTTTACATTTCAAATCCTTTATCAAGCATTTTATATGCATAACACATACTGCTATACTCATGAACACATACATTATTGACCAGTGGCTCCTCGCAGCAAAATTCACCTTAGTAAGTACTGTGCTGGAAGACTATCTGCTGAAGTTGACTCAATAATCTAATGCATGGAGAAGGCTGTCCAATGCCCTCCTTTGGGCTCTATCCATCTTTTAGATCACTGTTTACCCATCCCCAATACTGCAACATAATTACACTACAATCCATACGAGATTATTGTTTTAATATAATTGGATCTACTTAAATTAAATTCCATGTAAATGAAATGAGGACTGAAATTAATCACTGCTGTGGGTAGATTAGAAGGAACCAGAGATAGATGACCTTCTGTTCAGGACAGTACAATTCACTATCAGATCAAAAAACAAACAAAACAAATTTAAATAAACACTGTTAAAAGATTTTATTCTCTGCAACACCTGGATAGGTTATCATGTGGATTATTTTATATTTAAATGGTATTTCCTATGAACTACTTAGATTATAGGATCACTTTCACTGCTCATAATCTTTAAGGGGACACGAGGAAAACACCTGTGTGATTGGGCTCTCATGGAAGCATTTAATCCCTTAATGAAGGGTTGCATAGCAATTCCCAGGAAAACAGTAACTGAGAATGATAGATTGTGAAAGTAGTGGAATAGCTACCTCAATGTCAGCCATCACATGTGTATTTTCTTTTTTTTATGTGACGGAGTTAAAACCCAACTCCAGACAAATTTTTTTTTATTTTTGGATAGAGTAGGGAGGGGTCAGAAGAGACAGGAACTGATGTGATAGCCCTTCAATGGAAACACAAGACAGCTAGAAAAAAAATCAGCTTCTAGCCCTTCCCCCACTCTGTGCAAAATGAAAAAATTGTATTTTCTACGTTATATGAAACATCTAGAAATGGTATGTGTGAAGTGGAGTACAGTGAAAACTACCTTTCGACTGAAATTCCTCCCGAAAATATAGGATTGCATTTCCTGGTGAGGGTGCCTAGGCACTCCTGTACCTACAGCCTCATAGCGGTGTATCTGTAGTGCGCAATCAAAAACATTGTGCCTCACAGTCTCAGGGAATCTGGACCGATATTTGATGATATCACTATTGCGCCTCTCATTGTAACTATTGGAGGCTTTCGGATGACAAAGTAAAGCCCTGCCTCTCCCAAGATGGCCACTTCCACAGAGAGACAGCACAGAACAAGACATGTTAAGTCAGTAATGTGGAAAAGATCTGTTGCAGGGAGACCAAAGGCAAAACTGGTGACTAGTACATAGCCCTCTGCCTGTTTTTTATAATGCACAGCTTCCAGATCTCAGTTGTTCTTTAAGAGTTTTAGCTAATGGCATGAACAAGCTTTCCTGCGAGATATCTTCTGCACTGAATTGTGGGAAAGGAGGTTTTCAGGGATCAACTTGGATAGCAGCTGTACATGGAAGTATATGTAAACCTTTGAACAACAAAATTACACATGACTGCAAAAGTTAGGAAAACACCATCAGTTTTTTTTTTATAACTTTTTTCTCTTTTTTTAACCAATGCTATGCTATGCACATTTCAGTGGCTGTTGCGCGCAGCTTCTGTTATGTGTATGCTATAGTGCGTAAGTGCATATAACTTTTTCAGATGCCATGGGACCACGTGTCCCATGATGCAAGCATCTGCAGTTAACAAGAGATGAAAGGGCTAGTTTCTGTTGTTGGGTCATCAGCTGAGCATGCAAACCTTTAGTTCTCAGTTTATACACATATGCAGTTGGGCAATATGAGCATGCATATTTATATATACACTATATTGCCAAAAGTATTCAGACACCCCTCCAAATCACTGGATTCAGGTGTTCCAATCACCTCCATCGCCACAAGTGCATAAAATTAAGCACTTAGACATGCAGACTGCTTCTACAAACATTTGTGAAAGAATGGGTCGCTCTCAGGAGCTCACTGTATTCAAGCGAGGTACTGTGATAGGTTGTCAGTCACCTGTGCAATAAGTCCATCTGTGAAATTTCCTTGCTACTAAATATTCCACAGTCAACTGTTAGTGGTATTATAACAAAGTAGAAGCAACTGGGAACAACAGCAACTCAGCTATGAAGTAGTAGGCCACATAAAATGACAGAGAGGGGTCAGCGCATGGTGAAGCACACAGAAGTCCCAACTGTCTGCAGAATCAATAGCTAAAGACCTCCAAACTAAATGATTATGATGCCTCAATTGCTGTATCTCCCCTGTTGTCCTGCCATTTAAGTTGTTCCATACATTCAATGCTATTTTTCGTTCTCTCCTTTGGAAACAAGGCCCTTCTAGGATACGTTTGGAACAACTTCAGAAACCTAAGTGCACTGGAGGCATTGCATTTTCTAATCTCTGGCTTTACTATTTGGCAGATCAACTACAGCATATGTTGCTGAATATGTCCCAAGCTGATTATGGTACCAGGGCTGCAGTAGACTTCTCTGGTCCTACATTGCACCCAGTCAACTTCTCTCCCTGAAGGTTTTAGAATCCCAGAGGTCTGCTAAGCCCAATTAGTGCTTCCCCACGTACAAGTTAATTCACAAAGTGTGGTGTAAGGCTAAACATTTACAGGCAGTAGAGGGTTTTACAAACTATAGCCATATTTGGGATAACCCTACATACTCTGAGCTGGCTAGATTGCCATATGCAAGGAAAATGGCTCTCTCACGGAGTGTCGCATCTGAAACATATTTTGAGAGGGGGTATTTTGCTACCATTCTCCACTCTACATTCGCAATATGGTTTACCACAATCAATGGACTTTTATTATGTGCAGCTGCAGTATGCCGTCCAGGTGCAGGGTTTCCCGCCAGGATAATCTCTCTCCCATACCCCTATATATAATGAGATGCAGCAGGGACCAGTCAGAAAGGCTTTATTTCTCACTGTTATGCAATGCTGCTGAACATCCATGCAACAGCTTATCCTTGTAGAGTAGCAGAGAAGTGGGAAATGGATAGAGGGGAACTACCTGGTGAGCAGTGGGAGATGGCATTGGAGGTGGTCCATTCTAGCTCCTTGAACACATCCCAGCAATTATCTCAGTTGTATATCCTACTGAGGGTGCACTACACTCCGGAGCGAATGTCTAAAATGGGCTCCCTCGCCAATCCGATTTGTCCTAAATGTAGCAGGGATCATGGTACACTGATCCAAATGCTGTGGTGTTGCCCCAAACTGCATAGGTATTGGGAGGCAGTATTTAATACCATTTCTTACTACTCTTCCTCTGGACCCTAAACGCTGTATCTTAGGTATTATTAATGATGTGGTAACGGATCAGTTTACGGGGAAGGCTGTTGCTAGAGCCTTGTTACAGGCCTGTAAAGTGATATTGTTACATTGGTAGAGTACTTCGCCTCCCACACTTAAAGAGTGGGTGGAGCATATGGGCATTACTCTCAGGTATTAGCTAGTTATATGGGGAAGTATGGGGGAGCTGGTTGGAAGTTTCAGGCCTTGCACCGGTGGATCTGGTTATGGATAGGTTGTATGTTTGATATTCTGTATAGCATGTTTTCAGTCAGAACTGCAGGACTTCTCTCAAACTTTTTTATCGGTAGCTGGATGGACAATCGTTGGACTGTCTTAGTGTATTGTGTATGTGTCCTGAGTCATATATAGACACTGTACTGTGGAACCTGGAAAGTTTAGTCTTTTTTTTTCCTGTATGTTCAGTTTTTGTTTCAATAAACTTTTTTCCTGAGTAAAAAAAAAGACCTCCAAACTTCAGATTACCACAACAACAGTGCATAGAGAGCGTCATGGAATGGGTTTCTCTGTCTAGCAATCCGATGGATGTCTCTGGGTTTGGCAGTTGTCAGAAAAACAGTACTTGCCTGACTGCATTATGCCAAGTGTAAAGTTTGGTGGAGGGGGATTAGGGTGTGGGGTTGTTTTTCAGGGGTTGGACTTGGTCCCTTAGTTCGAGTGAAGGGAACTCTTAAGGCATCAGCATACCAAGACATTTTGGACAATTTCATGCTCCCAACTTTGTGGGAACAGTTTGAGGATGGCCCCTTCCTGTTCCAACATGACTGCGCATCAGTGCAAAAAGCAAGGTCCATAAAGACAAAATGAGCGAGTTTGGAGGGGGAGGAACTTGACTGGCTTGCACAGAGTCCTGACCTCAGCCTGATAGAACACTTTTGGGATTAATTAGAGTGGAATCTGTGAGCAAGGCCTTCTCATCAAACATCAAACTTCTCATCACTGCCTGACCTCACAAATGCGCTTTTGGAAGAATGGTCAAACATTCCCATAGATACAGTCCTAAACCTTGTGGGTAGCCTTCCCAGAAGAGTTTAAGCTGTTATAGCTGCAAAGGCTGAGCCAATTCAATATTGAACCCTACAGACTAAGACTGGGATGCCTTTAAAGTTCATGTACGTGTAAAGGCAGGTGTCTCAATACTTTTGGCAATATAGTGTATTTGTTAATAAAAATGTTAGTGCATGCGCAATATGGCTGCAATCGTATGTCTCTTGTCAGCATTACAGACCCAATTTTGTAGTTGTACAATATGTGCTCTAATTGTTCAAGGTCTACACATAAACCTTATTTTGTGCTTACTGAACAGTATATTAAGACTTGCATTTTTGGGGGGTGGGCTTGGTGCATGGAGCTGTAGGACGTGTCCCTCGGTAGCTCCCAGTTCTCACTCCTCTGGCAGGGCTATTTACCCTCACTGACGATCCTTAAACCCCACACATGGGCAGGAACCAGCACAGGGACACCAAGAAGTCCAGAGAGGGCCGCTCTGGAGGTGATATGGGCCGCTTTTTCACTAGATCTGTGGCCGCGGTCTTGCATACCCCGTTTGGTAAGATGACACCCGCGCCTCTTCCTCCTCCTGGTATGGAGCCTTTGACTGACCTACAGGTGAGCTCCCGCCTCTCCTCCCCTGGAGGCTCAGCTCGGCTCTCTCAATCCTCCCACAGCCTCTCCCAAACTTCATTATGTTCCAGGGATGGCTGGGACCTGCAGTCCCACATCAGCTCTCCGCATTCCTATATTACATCCCTGTCCACCAATGATGATTTTGAGGATTGTGTAAAGTGCATTGAAAAGACTTACAGTATAAACAAGATATATCAAAGTTAAGATATATGTGCCCACATGTAAGAAATTGAAAACACCTCTGATGGACTTTTTAATGCCTTGCAATCCCATGAAGAGACTCTTAACTCTCACACGGTACTATTAAAGCAACTTATGTACCAACAGGATGACACAGAAAACAGGAACCGTCACGACAATATCAGAATTCGGGGCATTCCGGAATTTGTGGAACCTAAAAGGACTTAGCAGCAGCGGCTACTGCTATTTTCAATCAATTAATGCAACAGCCCAAAGATGCACCCATTGAATTGAATCAGGTACATAGGACCTTAGGCCCAAGAAATCCCTCATTTGTTCGAGACACGTTATGTAGAGTTCATTATTACAAGGTCAAAGATGCCATCATGCGCGCAGCCAGTACGCTCCTTCCTGACCTCTCCCATCAGACCCTGAATAGGCGCAGGGCCTTAAAGCCGCTCATGCAATTACTTAAAGATCGCCACATCTGGTACCAGTGGAGATTCCCTTTACAACTCTGAGCCTCCCACAATGGCATGTCTGCACAGTTTCACACTTTTGGGGATTTAACCAACTTCCTTGGCACCTTTGAACTGCTCCAAGTGTCTTTGCCAGATTGGCCTTTTCCACCGACAACACCGGGATTACATTTCACCCCGCAATGACGAATGCAAGGCAAAAAGAAACGTTCAAGGTCCTCCTCCCACAAGGTCCCGGATGACTGACTCTCTGCCTTAATTGGGAGGTTTTCCCTGTTTGCCGCCTCCTTGAGGGTTTTTACCTTTGGCGTGCAACCTTATGTGGTTTCGCAGGTTGATTGCTTCTGTTGATATCATTAGTGATTTCATACTCTGACCACTTTGGATTGTGGCGGGCTCCCACATCCCCCTGTATGTGTCCCCTGGGTGGGTGGTGCGGGGCTTCCTACAATCCTCTGGGTTATTTTACAATTTGTGTCACTCACTCAGTTGAGTGACCTTCCACTCTATTCATTCCCTGGGGGAGGCCTGGGCTGGGATCTGCTCTTTGTGCCTTTGATTTTCCCCACCTAGGCCTCTCCATGCTACCGTTATGCACGGTTTGTTTGGACAGATTTCTGTCTGTTGGTTGTTATCTGTTTACTGTACTCTTTGGAGCCACCTAGTGGTTCTCCCTCTTTTTTTAAATTTTCGGGTGGATTCCATCTCCATACCTGTATTCATCCACGACCTGCTCTATCTGGAGTTGGCGATCCTACCCACTCTCTCCTCTACCTTCCTTTCCTGTGTTCTTTATTTTTCCTCTCTTCCACTTCTTTCTGACCTTTACTCGGTCTGCATCTTCCTTTCTCTCTCCCCCCCCCTCCCCTTTTATCCTCCCCCCTCCCTTTTTTTTTTTTCTCTACAGCTATTTTTCAGGCGCTCACAATTCCTATAGCCTTATCAACTACTTTCTTATCTCTCAATCTTTACTTGTCTCTACTATCTCTGCCTCCCTTGGCCACTTCCTATGGTCAGACTACTTTCCCATACATACACAGTCTCCCTACAGCTTCTCGTGGTTCTACTTGGCGTTTAAATAAACTTGACAAAGACATGTGTTGCGGATGTCAACGTGCCATCCAAAACTTTTGTGCTTGACCAGGATGTACACACGGGTCCCCATCCAATGGGAAGCCCTGAAGAGTGGGGGTGTTTTTATCCAACATGGCTCTCGTTTGAATTTAGTCCGAGCTTCTGAGACGCGTCGGTTGCTCTAGGTTATCGCAACTCCAGAAACCTCCTATAAGCAAGCCCTGGACCCCTCGGTTTATGTAGATTTATCTAATGCCCGTTGTGATCTCCTTCAACTATTAGATTCTTACTCTCTTATCGCCTGGGATAAGGCTCATAATTACCATTATTCTATAGCTAATAAAGGTGGGTAACTTTTGGAGAGGTAGCTCCATCCACGCTCACCTCGACACCCTATCCAATTAATTCACATGTCTGATAACACTAAAATACACCACAACTGGGGAATCTCCTCCTCATTCGAGGGCTACTACTCTCAACTTTACAATCTACCTTCCTCTTCCTCCGGGGACCCCGCTGACCCCATCTAACTGATATGTTGACATACATTAATGAGACGGCATTACTGGTTATTGATGCACAGGATGCCTCGGACCTTGAGGAACCCTTTTCGGTGCTAGAAGTATTAGGTGCAATCAAAGGCTTAAAACCCGAAAAATGCCCCAGGTTTTACAAATCTTTTGCCCCCTTATTGGCCCCGTTTTTAGCCAGGACCTTCAATACCATTGATGACTCCCACCTCCCTTGCAAGGATTTATTATACGCCAATATTTCTGTTATTCCTAAACCGGGTAAAGACCCCTCTTATTGCAGCAGTTTACCATCTGATATCTCTCCTAAAATTTAGACATCAAATTGTTCGCAAAGATCATGGCAACGGATTTGTCCCCACTCCTGCCCTCTAATCCACAAAGACCAGGTGGGCTTTGTCCCTGGCAGGGTAGCCAGGGACAGCATCACCAAAACTATCCATCTCATCTCCTATATTCAACAACACAATTTAAAGCCATGTCTTCTCTCATATGACGCCAAGAAGACTTTCAACCGAGCTGACTGGCGATTTTTACACCTTACCATAGAGCAGGTGGATATGGGACCTGGCTTTATCACTAAAGATCATGTCCCTTTATTCCCAACCCACAGCCTCTGTGCTGGTAAATGGAACATCTTCTTTGCCTTTTCCCATATCAAATGGCACTAGGCAGGGATGCCCCCTCTCCCCTTTATTCTTCGTCTCAGTTATGGAACACCTTGCTAACGCTATACAGAACAATGACTCCATTGTTGGTATCCAAACCCCTTCCTTCCACCATAAACTTTCCTTATAGGCGAATGATGTTTTAGTCTACATCCAACAACCACATACCTCACTTCCCTGCCTACTACATGAATTACGCAGGTATGGAACCTATAGCAACTTTAAATTGAATATAGAGAAAACGGAGGCATTGAACATCACTTTTCCTGCCAAGATGTTGCATTTGCGTTCCAATTTCTCCTTTCAATGGCAACCTAAGGCCGTCTCCTACCTTGGCATTCTCATTCCCTCCAATCTCTCAGATCTTTATATGCTTAATTATGCCGCCCCCCATTATCCCATATTCGTAAAAATCTAGCATCCTGGGGAGCTTCCTCCTTGCCCTGGTTTGGGTGCATCAATACCCTAAAAATGGATACTCTCCCAAAATTGCTCTATGTTTTCCAGACTATCCCCGTTTCAGTGCCTAGGAGTTTCTTCCTCACGTCCCTGTCTATCTGTTTTATTTGGCACCACGGTTTTTCCAGACTAAAGCACAAATTGCTTACTTATCTAAAACTTCAAGACGGGGTCGGCCTGCCAGATTTTGAACGTTATTATAAAGCCGCCTTGATGGCGCGCATGCTTGACTGGTTTTCCTGACCCTTCAACAAGGCATCTACCATGGTGGAATAGGACCTGTCCCCTGTTGACCCTAGGGCTCTCCCTTGGGAATATAGGCAGGATTTGCACCCATTCCATTGCCTCTCACCCTTAACGTTGGCGGTCCTGTGTCTGTGGTATAAGCACAGACTTAACATTCTTCTGTCCTCAGACCCATCCCTCTTGATGCTTTTATTTGATAATCCAGCTTTTCCACAAGGCTTGGGATCTTCTGCACTTAGTCCCCTCTCTCGCGC